CAGCTGGACAACTCATCCTCTGCTTGAATTGATTTTACAAGGCTACGGCCATCTTGGACAAGCTGGGCTATTAGAGAGCACAGCGGATATGGAAGACTTGTGGTGCATGGCTTCAGGTCTACAGTCAGAATGAGTAGGCTGACTTGCCGCCGGAAGCCAGGCACATGCACTTGTCGAGGGCGTCTGTCTGATGATGGTTGCGTCCGGGCACAGGGGAAGTGGTCTTCATGGTCCGGTACGTAGACAAGGTTGTTAAAGGACAAGAGGACGAAAGGGCAGCATCGTGCGTAATGCATAATTAGGTAGAGACCCAAAGAGAAATGCAGGAAGACTAAGCACTAACAATGTATTTCTAAGCAGATAACTAATATTAAGGCCGTAAGAATAAGCTGGCCCAGAAGTATCGCTGTTCAACCTCAGACACGCCGTGGACCCAGGGGTATAGTGTACAGAGCACCGTGTCCTCTCTGTTGAGTCATGCATAGCACATGGCCCTCATCCGTTCGTAGTACCCTTCGAGAGACCTGTCCTGTCTCGGCCCTATAGCACCCATTTTACCGCCACTTTCATAACCGGCTCCAAATTCCAAACCAGTTCAACCACAGGTTCCTCTTTCCACAGTGATCGATACATCCTCAGGGGGTGTTGCAGCGCTATTGTAACCTCTTCCTTTTCCGATCATCCTCGCCCCTGATATCCAGGTCGTCCTCACCCTCTCGTTCTGCCGTATCTGTTGGGTTGAGAATATGCGCCATGCTTCCGCGTCTGGTAGGAGGAGCAGAATGGTCGTGTACTGCTAGAGTTCCTGGCTTAGGCTTGTTCCACGACCAACTTCCAAAATTGTCGCTTGGCCCTATGCCGCTTGAGACCCCATTCCCGTTGGTGGTGCCGTTGTGGAAAGAAGGCGGAGGAGGGCTGTCGGGCCGTGATTTCGGATGCGAAGCGGATTGTAGGGAGTAGGAGGACAGTGATTCTCTGATCCGGCGATCTTCTGGGGCGGGGATGCCGTTCGGACTTGAGGGCCATGCGCTGGACGGTGGGCCGGACGAGGATGGGAACGGAGGTGGTGGCTGTTGGTGGGGTTGCCAGCCGTGGTCGCGGATGTCGGCCGAGGTATGTCGGCGGGCAAGGCTGCCTGGCGGGAATTCGACATTGGCTAAAGGGCGAGGTCCCGGAGGAGGCGGTGGGATCTGGACTGGTCTAAGGGAAGATGGGGACGACTGCGCGCTGGGGCCGCCAATCGAGCCGTACGGTCGACGCCCGGTTGATATGGAGAGATTCGACGGCACAGGGGGGCGATAAAGTGGCGGTGGCGGACGTGATTGTTGTTGTTGTTGTTGTTGTTGTTGTTGTTGTTGCGGAACAGACAGACTATTGCGTCTGCTGTCGTCCATGGCCAATTGCCGTGGAGACACTGGTGGTTGGTTGTCGTAGTAGGCACGGTTGTTGAAGAGTGGCTCATGCGGTTCATCGAGGCCACGGATCATCTCGGCTTGGCGTTGAATTTCGCCTTGTAACGCTTGGACTAAGGCACCAATGTTAGCATCTGGACAGCACCATGAGGAGGCGGGCTTGATCTGATCACACATACTGTCTCGGTGGATGGGATGGTCGCCAGGGGCGAGGTTGAGGATTGACCTTGTGATTTCTTGGTTGAAATGGAGTATCCGGGTCATGAAGTCCAGCATGGCCTGCTGTCTGACGTGCATGTAGTGCGCGTTCTCCTCGCTACGCTGCAATCTTGCGCCTAGGTCATATAATGTGCTCTCAATTGTCCGGGGGTCGCCGCCTATCTCCAGAGGTTGTTGCATGGTGGGTAATGCCTCGGCCGGAGTGACTGGTTGAGAGTGCGAGTGCGTTGGTACATGCGATGAGGGCGCCCTCGCGCTGCTGTAGTCTCGGTGTGCAAGGTTGTGTCGAGAAGCTCGTCGCTTGATGTCCCGAAGTCCCATCAGGTCTCCTCGCTTGAAGCTACCGGCTCCATGTTTGAACTCCCACACGGCTGACTCCGGCCCGCCAGAATGGAACACATCGCTGACTGTGCTAGAGGTCAGTAGAGCTACACAACGGGGTACAGGGCGAAGGGACAGATGTACCTTTGTGGAACCCGTACATGTTGAGCTGCCGCACAAATGAGGAGATATTGGTGTGCTTGAAGTATTGACTGTTGAGAAGGTCAGTAAGGAGAACATACGGCCAAGCAGGGTAGCACATTGGCTGAACTGGGGAGACATACGCTAGGACTTTGGAGAAATCAAGCGACGGCGTCATCACAAAACTCTCGTTTGTCGGTGACCATGATATCAAGTGCGATATGCTGCTGTCCTCGAGCATACTGCGACTATGGTTTAGCAGTTGTTTCATCATCCACAAAGCCGCTTCCCCCCGGCGCGTGCTGTTTGCTGGGTTGCTTACTTGTACAACTTGTGTATGAATGCCGTCTGGACTATCTTGGGTTGTTGTACAGCCGACGCGGGCGCCGTGTTCATTGGGGCTGGCATGATAACACTATCGGCTGGCGGTTTCTCGTTTTCTGTTGTCGTGCCCGGTCGGTCGCTACCATTGCCATTGGCTTCGGGATTGGGACTTCTGGCAGCTGAAGCAGGGGCTGAGGATTTGGTCGGGGTTGTGACGTCCATGGGCTCGCCTGGTGACGACGGCGCCGACATCTTTATGATCGGGGGTTCGAGAATCGGAACTGTTCTAGCGCCAATTCGGTCTTCTGGACGGTCGAGCTTATGGTTCCGGGGTGGACTCTTGGTCATCGTGGCCAGCTGCTCATTGAATTCCTCACAGTCAGTAATTGGCACGTCAGATTTGAGACAATCGGTGGAGTCAAGCCCGAAGACAAAGGGTCGAGCTTGGCCTGCCAGCAGGCCTAGGCTCTCTCTCTCTCTCTCTTCCAGCAGGGGGCTCATCGACGGAATGCGCTTGGTGTTTGAAAGGGGGGAGCAGTCCACGAGATTGACTACCAGGAATGCCAGCACCACTAACCTCATGGCCGCCCGAACAGAGCTACTACAGAAGCGATGCAAATTGATAGTCCAAGTCTTGTTTGGAGTTTCTTTATTCGGCCTGTCCGTGATGGCGCTGAATGTCTCTGCCGCCTCCCGATCTATCGTGGCATTGACGACCCGCTTCTGCTGGCCGTTCCCGGATTTCTTTGCTCCCTTCCTGCGGCGATCCAGATCCACCCTTGAGCCAGCCACGGCAGGGAGAACAACGGGCACTACGAATGCCGCACGCCCGTGGATGCTAGTAGCAGAGTCTGGTATGTCTTGACCAAAGTCAAGCGGAAACAAGAGCTCGAAAAGGCAGTGCTCCGTCGTCTAGTGTATTGTTGTCGACAGCGAGAATGGAATTGTGTGTTGCACCTCTCTTTTTAGTGTCCGGTGGTTGTGGTTGGTTGGTGGCGCAGAGGCTTCGACGGGCCAAAGCGTACCGTGGTCTCTCTAAAACTCTTAGTTGGGTCGTGGCTGATTGGAAGGAAATAAGAAAGATCTGGGGGAGACTTACGGGAGTGTTTTGGAGGTTAGTACTGATACAGTAGTACTAGCGACGCCCCCTGTCACCATGAGGGCGTACCACTACCAGGGTTGTCGTCGTAGTGGGCTGCTGAGTGCTGCTGCTGGGCTCTGAGATTGGGTAGCATCCGTCCCACGATCCCTTGTTTCTGAATATCATCCATGTGCTTCCGTATGAACCCTCTACGCAGATGTTCTAGAGCTCTCAGCATCGGGAAAAGGGTGTTGATGGTTGTTAGAATGTTAAAGGGCATGGTTTTTCACCTGGCCCATCTCGCGCATGCGACACTGGTTCCCAACAGACAGGAAACACAGTCAAGCCTTGGCGCACTTGTGCAATAAAACATGCATATCCAGGGCCCCATAAGCTGCCAATGCTTTACCTGCACGAAATACACAGAGTTACCAGGGTACCTAGGTACCTTCCCACCGTCGCAGCGCCAGACAAACAGAACCTGACTACCTCACCTATCTGTTGTACATGTAACTGGCAGTATAGATTCATACATTCCTGAGTACCTACCCTACCGTACTCCAACCACCGAGTCAGGCCTGACCCAGCCAGAATCAGGACACATTACTTGCCTTATGTATTGTAGTGTCGTCGCATATGCGCACGCCAGGCGGCTTCTTTTCGATGGCTGAAAAGCTGGGCCTAAACAATCTCACGGGGCCATGAGAAAATAAACAGCTCAGTGAGCAGCCTGGGTCAGGTTTCAAGGGCGCTTGAAACTGAAGTAACCATCGTGTAAGCTGCCTGCCCACCCTCCAGTACACATCATTTATCTGCGATCATGAGTACGTATGTTTGAGCATCACAGGGGCCATCCCGTTGTCGTGGTTGATGCTCCGACTCGAGGCCGCGTTCAGGGGCTCATGAACCCCACCATACATGAGCTCCGTCACCGCGCAACTAATCGACTTTGCAACGTCCACATGGCCCTCAGATGGACAGGGGCGCTTGATGCATACTCTGCAGTGGTCCTGACGTCTGTTTTCTTAATATACTCTCCCTTGCTTCTTCCACGGAGCAGCCTTCCAACCACGAGCAGGTACATTTGCTCTCGACACGCGGCTTTTCGTTCCTTCACGAGCCCCTTTCCCATTGCAGTAGGGCGAGAGACCGTTGTCATGGTCTTTCAGCCCAGTACTGTTCAAACTCAATACTCCCGGCTCCCTCTTGGCACATGCAGCTGACCATGGAAGATAAAACTGAGGTTCCGGGAAAACACCACGTTTCAGAGGCACAATGACCACATCCTGGGCAAGTGCATCCCCCGAGTTCAAAGTCTACTTGTCGCTAATGACACGCACCTCGTCCCGTCTCTGAACGAACCCCGATGGAATACCGTCTTATGTTCTGAGTCTTATCGCAGTTCGACGGGAGGTCGAATATGCAAAACGCAGCCAGCGACATGTCAGGCCGTCGTCAAACCTGGTTCAACAGGACACAACAAAAAAGGTAAAAGTGAGAGCCTCTCCCCGACAGGATTGAACTGTCGACCTCTCGATCGCCGTTTCCAGTGCCGGATATTAACAGTCGAACGCTCTAACCAGCTGAGCTAGGGGAGATGATCACGACGTGCAAGGAAAATGTCCCGAGTCATCGGTACCGTTTGACATGGCTAACGTATCTACTAGCGAGTTCCCCTCTATGAGGGCTTCCCTTGCTCACTCCCAACACAAAAGCGAGAATTACCACGAAAGAAAGCGGGACGCTAGTCGTCCTGGACTTGCTTCTTTCTTGTCATCCAGTCGCATAAGCGGAACCCGAAACAGCATCCAGCCACTGACATTCCGTTGCTCATATCATGCGTCCCGCGATCGCGTACGATTGCCGATCTTTTTCTAGACCCGGTCCCATCTCGGTCAGCCATTCCATGATGGCACACCTAAGACACTTCGATTTCAGAAGGTCTCGGTACCAGGGGGTGCAAAAACACTTTTCTTCTCCTTCTTGACCTTCTATTCTTGGCCATGGTGTCAGTCACCTACGTCTTGTAGCGCCACGCCGCAAGCGGAAAGCACATAGGTGCCAAGCCATGCCCGCGAGTAGAATCTTAGTGAATCCTGACTCCAATGAACCTTGCTACCACCACTTCCTTCGTCAACATGGTGAGATGGCCGAGCGGTCTAAGGCGCTACGTTAAGGTCTTCAAAACCTTAAAACAATCTGTTATCCGTAGTCCGAAAGGGCGTGGGTTCGAATCCCACTCTCATCAATTTCTTTTGCTGGTGTTCATCGACATGGTGATGGTGCTTGCTGGGATGGCGAGAGATGGACATTTGCTTTTTGGTTTTTTAGCATGGAGGTGGATGTCGGCTGACATTAGGGGTTCCAGATGCGTAACTTGGCTTTTGATTCGCTACCTCCTGTGTCAACAAAGCTGCATCGACCCAAGTCCCGTTATGCTGACGAACGGCTTGGACAGAAAACTACATACAGGAAAATATAACTTATGTCCACATTGTTGGATAGCGTGAATGCATGACTTTCAGCATCGTGGTTACGTTGTGAGCATTCAGGAACCTGGATAAGACTGGAAGAATGCTACTGCTTGATTCATGCCATGACCGAAACCAGCCCCTGACACCAATTCCAACATGTATTACCCCTAAAACAAATATGCTAAAACCCAGCTCAGCATCCAGTGCTGAAATATCAAGGTATACTCAATAGCATCCTGCTCTCATCATAGCGCGTAAGCGTCCTGGTTTCACTTCCTGAAGCCAGTCGACTCGTAATACCACCTTTACGCGAACCCATCATCGTCGTCTTCCTCTCCATCATCATCGCCCATCATCTTCCTCTCCCCGATCTCCCGAATCTTCTCCCCAAGTATCCCCCTCCCGTACCGTTCCGCCACCTTCCCGGCAGCCTCCACCATGCGACCGGTACGATCCCTCATTAACCTCACGAGTTCCAGGGCTCTCATGCCCCGTTCCTCGCCCTCGCGGCACTCAACAGCCAGCATCTGTAGCAGTGTCTTGTCGATCTCCAGCTCCATCCTCGCTAGTGCCGAGCGTTTCAGGTGGGAGCCGCGGCCCGTGATCTGGTCTTCTAGTTGCGAGGCGAAGATGGACTTCAGAAGGAAGGACTGGGTCAGGTTGATGGTTTCTGCATCCTCGGGTTCCTCCGGCTCGAAGTCTGACCCGGAGGACTCGTGATCAGACTGGTTCATGAGGTCGTCGTCATCCTCGTCCGTTCGACGAGATTTCTTGGACTTCCTCTTTTTGGGTTCCACCGGCCCGGTGATGGGGACGGAGAACTCGAATTCCGACAGCAACGGACGAGGGAAATAAGGATATTGATCGCCGCCTTTGAGGATGATGCAATGGAATTTGTTGTCCGCCACAGCAATCGGGAAGTAATTCTCCTGCCTCTTGCCGCCTGCCAACCGGGTCAAGAGCTTGGTGTCCAGTAGCGGAGCCCAGTATGCCCTGCCCGGCCGTCGCCAGTGCAGCAGGGTAAGAAGAGTGCCGGTGCTGTCGTAGATGCAGGGGTCACCGGCGTCGGAGAAGAAGACGGATTTTATGCTCTCTCCCTCCGGTAGGGCGACGACGTCTTCGTTTTGGCAGACCTCGTCAGTCTTGATGTTGTGGATCGTGTAGAGGAGCTTGGTGGTGCCATCAGCTCCTAACGCGCCGTTGCCCATGGTCAGCACGTAGTCCTTGTACGACGCGCAGGTCACCATGGGGGCTGATTTGGGCCGGTAGACGCGGTAGGGTATGCCAAAGAGCGTGTAGACGCGAACGTAGTTGGCGGTCGTGGTGACGGTGATGAAGGAGTCGCTGAGGGACATGGCAAGAACGGCTTCCCCCTTCGGGAGCTGAGTGCGCCAGTCGGATCGGTTTGTCCAGGTTTCGTGAGGCCGGTAGAAGATGGTGGCCGGGAGGTCGTCTTTCGGTGGACAGGAGAAGAGAGCACCTTTGTTGTTCAGACAGGCTTTGTCGTACAGAAAGGTGTCGGTGAAGTGGAAGTCACGGTGTTCATGGTGGTCGTAGAACTCGACTGTGACGGTATTGTGAGAGTCTTGATCAACTGTCCAGACGAAGCCGATGAGGTTGAGACAGAGGTACTTTCTGTTTCCGCGCCACGGGGTTGAGCCGGGTTGGAAGGACTCGTGGTATTCCGGCTCTAGTATATTTGCACGTTTGCTGGCATGGCCGCCGTAGATCTCATCGTCTGCAGCTGGTCGCTTTTGGCCCGTGGTATAGCCCGCGCCGTCATCGTCAACCACAAAGTCGTCCAGATCGCCTCCATCCATGTCATCGTCTAGAAGATCAGCAATGCTGTCTGGCGTCCCATGTCGACCATTTCGAGGAGCTTGTGGCTTAAACCCATTGGCTATCACCGGCCTCCTGGCATTGGCTGAGATCTCGGTCAGAGGGTCGTGGATAAAAGGCGCGGGCTGTCTTGGGAGCTTCAGCCAGGAGGCAAACTGATCCGAGACGAAGTCGGGACAGATGTAGACCTCGCCATCAGAGGTGGTGAAGGATAGGAGATTCTTGGTCGGATGCCATGCTAGATCCATGACATTGGCATAGTCATGTCTCGCAATGATGCTCTGGTCCTTGGTAGCCCAGATCAGGATCTTCTTGTCCTTTCCGGCCGTGGCAAGCATGGCCCCGTTCGGTGACCAAGCAAGAGCCGTGACGTCTCCTTCATGGCCATTGGAGAAAGACCGCTGTTGCTCCCAGTCGTTTTTCGACACCACGCGGACATCCCTTGTGGGTGTGGCTACGGCAAAAGCGCGGCCATCGGGGTGCCATACAACTTTTGATGAAGCCTCGGCGTCCGTGTCGAGCGCTCCAATGACCCCGTCCACTTTGCGAATGAGCTCAGGTTGGTCGGCGGTCAGCGAGTAGACGTATATCGTGCCATCAGTGCAAGACAGCGCCAGTATGTCGCCCTTGGGATGGTATGAAAGATGTTTGGTCGGCTTGTTGTGTTCCCTCAACGTCTTCAAGTTGGTATTATCCTCCACATTTACCACCTTGACCGTGAGTTCGTCACTTGCCACAGCACACCACTTGCAATCCGGTGATAAGGCGACATCGCGTACTGGGAGCGAACATCGGAGCAGGAAGCGGTCGAACGCATTGCTGCTGAGAGAGTAGAGACTGACAGTGCCGTCCTCCGATCCGGCAACAAAGAAGTCGTTGGCTGCTGATACTGCTACGTTCTGTTCTTGGCACTCGTCGATGTTGGCAGGCTCTCCGTCAAAGCCTGTCTTGTAGACTCGAATGGTGTTGTTGGAGCCGACTGTCACCAATTCGGTTCCGTTAGGGGTGTAAGCGCAGCGTGTCGAACCTTGCGTGTGCGCTGGCCGTGGCCGTGGACGAGGTACAGTGGAAGTCATTATGCTGCTTTACGCTTTCGATAGGGACCGAACGCAGAAGTCAGGAAGGATATGTGTAAAGTACACAGTGCCCTAGGTGGTGTTGGGCAATTAATTGGCGTCGAGAAAACGAGCTGGGAGACGCGTCGGGCCGCGTCGCCAAATCAACGCGTTAAGTGTCCAATTCACCGTTTGATGCATCCCTCTCAGATAGAATTAGCAGAAGGCCTCAATTATGCTTCTAGACAAGGATTGATAGTAGCCGGTGGGTCAACCAACAGACGCCCCTGACAGCCCTTAAACAGTACCTGTAAGTTTGATGGGGCCACTAAGTGATCAAGTGATCCCAGTGCCCGCTATTGGTAGAGGTAGCTACCTCTATACAAGCAGTAATCTTGAATAGGCAGCTTACTGATTTGGCGCTCCATCAACTCCTCAGCAGAAGACCTTCTGTCTTTGTGCTGTATAGCTATAGTCAATCCAAGATGCAAACTTCAGATCCAGGCCGGTTCTTCGAGACCGAGTAGGTGCTAATTGACTTCTCGTACTACAAGCTTCGTAACTTACACTTTACCTCACAGCGCAGAACAAGCCACTCGTGCTCGCCGAGCTGCAAAGTCTAGCAACAAATACGGCAACCCAATAGCCTTGAAGTCCAAAATCTTGGCTGCAATTGTCAACCCTCACAGCCCGAGGAACGAGATATTTGTTGCACTCTCTACGGGTTTTGTGCAGAAGGTGAACGTTGATGATGTATGTCCAGTCCACCATTGTAACTTTACCATGCTCAAGCTAAGCGATGCCAGGGGACGTCGAAAACCTACCGTGGCCCCTCTACGCCAGTGACATCTGTCGCTGTCGGCGGACCTGGCAACACAACCATCTTTGCTGGGTCATGGGACAAGGACATCTGGTCGTGGGATATCTCAACCGGCACGGTGGGCACCAAGTACGTCGGGCATTCAGATTTCGTGAAGGCGGTCGTCTGTGCTCGTGTAGGAGGGAAGGATATCCTTATCAGTGGCGGTGCGGATAAGAAGATTCTGGTCTGGGATGTGGCCACGGGAAAGAGGCTGCATACACTCACCGATCCTGTGGTGAATATGATGGCCGTTCAGCACCTGGCCCTTGATCCCACGTCAACGGAAGATGAGGTCTGTTTCGCAAGTGCCAGCAGCGATCCGCACTTGAGGTATTGGAAGGTGAGGCGGGATGATTGGAAACCAGAAG